TTCAGCATTGCATCTGTTCCTTTCACAACAATGTTGATTACAACATTATTTGAGTCCACAGATATTATTCAGCTCTTTTATTTTTCTTCTAATTGATTTAATTTCTCCTATAGAGTTAAATCAGGTTATGGTATGATTAGGTTATCCTAATTTTTCCTATTATATTTTATTTTTATTTTTGGTTCACATTTTTTCAAAGTAAAAAAACCAGAGATGGATAATAATAAGGGACACAGTGGATTATAAGTATTAGGGGTGTAACTCTCTGATACTCTTTCTGTATTCCAGTGATTTTTAAAGCTTTTAATCCTTTTTACTTTGATTTGATGCATACTGTATATATTTGGGTTTACCTGAAAGCCAGTTTGTATAAGATGTAACCCTTAAGAAACTAACATATTTATTAGAATATTTTGGATAAGCTAGTATAATGCTGATAATTTACATTGGAAAACTGACTGACATTGTTTATGATATATGTTTATAAATAATCATAGAACAAAAATATGTTCATACAGAGATCAATTTCATGTTTTTAATTTTTTTCTGCAACATTCTGCTACGAATATAGAATTTGATATAGATTTGATTGTGGTTTATTTTTTCACTTTTTATTTTCTATTCTATTTTCTATTTGAGCAACTAGCTTTCTGGAGTGTACAGTGGTGGTATATCCAGCAATTGTAGTGATTTGTTTATATCTAATAATATTAAATAGCACATATTTGCCAATTAATTGCTTTTTATTTGCTTTAAGTGATTGCATTTATAGAGTCAGTCAGAGAATAAGTAAAGGCATTTTGAGGTGGATCCTTTGATTATAAAGCAAGAATAATTATTTCACATACTTTAAAATCAGCATGTGCAAAAAGACAACTCTGTATAAAATGAAACTCAGGGTGTGTTTAAGGAAACACACAGAGGTGAGGTCTAAATCAAGGTAAAGTTTTTCTAGGGTTTCAAAGTATACTCGTGTAAGTTTTAAATGTGAAAGACTATAAAAATATTGCAAAGAATTACATGGTATAACCATGTTGACTTGGTGAGATGAGCAATACCTGAAGTTAGTTCTGACCCAACATTTATTGCCTTAATTCTTAATAGACTGACATAAGGTTATAAGATAGGATAGGATAAGAAAGGAAAGGATATCAGAAATCAATAGGAAAATAGTACTGGGCACACATGGAAATCCCACAAAATTGTTACTTTGGCTCAGATACACCCACAATACTGGAAGGGGAACAATATATAATGGTACCACTCATTATATGCAGTACAGCAGAAGAATACCATATTGAAAAAACAGCATCTTGGAATGGGAGAAAATTAGGATTAGAGGGGGTAATAAAGAACCTGCCCTCTTTAAGATTTATTGTTTGAGAGAATGATAATAAAAAAAGAACTTCTCCTTTCTGTTCTGCCACAAAACAACACTGCACTTAGTTTCTGGGCAAATAGCCAACAGCAGCACTGGGCTTTTAGCATTGTAACACACAGCAAGGGTGACTCAGGATGGTGGAATAAGAGAACAAAATTAATATTCCCTCCCTGAAACCTTCCTCAGCAACTTTGTAATCCAAACAGCTGGCTTTTGAAACAATAGAAATGTGCATGTGATATACATTTGATAGACAGACAGACAGACAGACAGACAGACAGACAGACAGAAAGATAGATAGATACAGTAGATTGATAGGAACCCAAGAAGGAACAATAGTTCTTTTGCAAAAAGAATGAGTCAGGATGTGGAGCTCCACTAAAGTTGATATTTTATGGATTATAAATAAGGGATGGGATATGAGAGGAAGATATATTTGTTTGTAACCTTTGTTTATACTTATGGTGCAAGTCACTTCTTTATATACTTCTTTTCTTTTTTTCATAAACTGCATTTATATCGGCTGCAGGATCCTTCAGTCACATGATTGTGATTTGCAACCTTCCCAGCTGGCTTCCAACAAGCAAAATCAATGGGGGAAGTCAGATTCATTAATAACACTATGATTCACTAAACCACTGCAGTAAACAATGAGAGGAAAATAAGGGCTGGGTCATGTGATGACTCATGTAATGACTGCATCACTTAGTGGCCAATTGTAGACATAAGCCAAAGGCTACTTGTATGGATGATAACTTCTGTATTAAAGATTTGTGAGGACAGGAAGCAAAGCTGATTTGTAGGATCGATATGGGCAGTATTTTTGGGGTGGCTGAGCCTGCAGTGGAGGAAAGAAGTAATAGATTGACATGGGTTTTTTTGGATGAGAGTACTAATGCAATAGATTTTCAGAGCTTACAGAAAAGAAAGGAGGATACGTCAAAGAAATCAGTGTGCCACAAATCAGTATCATCCTGGTATTTTGCTTTGTCATTTCTAAAATATGATGGCCTGTGCTTCTCCAGCAAGTGCTACATTAATCAAGTTGCCTCGATCTTGAGCCAGAAAGCAATTAGGCTGTCATAAGGAAATTGACCTCATTTCCTGAAAAATGCTCTTAGTCAAAATGCTGAAGTGCTGAGACACTGGTTTTATACTTTGAAGGTGATGTTGTTAGGCCATATTTCAATCTTCATTTACTGAAAGGCATGTATATATATTATAGCTTTATATTACTTAGGGCTAGTGACATGGAGCCCAATTGAACTATTGTGATTCCTCGCCAGCCTGTGGATCCGGCAGCTGAGTCTGAGGAATCAAATGAGGAGGAGGGGCCTGGAGTGCCTGGAGGAAGGCTCTGAGGAGCTCCAAGACTTACAGTCGGACGAGGAGCCTGGGCCTTCTACTTGGGCTCAGGCTGAGACACAGCTGTGCTGGGAGCCTGAGTTGGACAGTGATGAAGAACAGCTGGGAAAAATCCAGGATGCACGAAGGTGCAGGCAAGAGAAGCGAGTAGAACAGAGGAATGCAGTGGGGCGGCTCCAAAGGCAAAGGAAAAGGCATTAGGAAGCCACGCCTTGGCTGAATTATAAAAGGGAAGGTGTGGGAGGGGCTGGTTGCCAAAGGCAACTGTTTGTGTTAAGGATCAAGTTTCTGTGAACTGTGTTTGTTTGCCTTGACATTGACTCAGGTCTGTGAGAAAAGGGGTTGGTTTTTTCTTGTGGTTTCTGTCTGGTTGTTGGAAGAGGGGTTTTTCCTTGTGAGCATAACAAGGACTCTCATAGGCTGGGACAGAACAACTATTTCCTGTTCTGGTAGTAGAAAAAATACTGCATGTTGGTCACTAACATTTTGGAATGGGTTGAAGTAGAATTGTGGCTAATCTATACATGCAAAGATTGTCATGAAATAGGTTGTATTTATAAGGCCGTGCAGTGCTTCAGATTCATCTTGGAAGAACTTTTTCAGAACACTCAGACTGCAGCCATGCTGTCAGGAAAACTGATATGGCTTCTTTAATGAGTCAAAGATAAGTGCTGTGTTGGTACTCCTTGCATATCCCAAAAATCTTTCCCAAACTGAATTCAAAACAAACCACAGCCTTATTTTGTTTCTTTAACCATGATGGCCTCCAGATCTGTTGGACTACAGTTTCAAGAATATTAAATCAGCATGAAGGGAAAAAAGAGAGCTATATTTGAGCAATTGCTGTCAGAGTTATTGTTGAACACAGATGATTCATGAGTACTAATGAACACTTATTATATAAGAATTTTGATAAAATAAATCAGTAAAGCCCATAATCACAAAAGAAGACATTGGTGTATTCATTAGTAGCTTGATATGAAATTGCTTTATATTTGGGTTATTAGGTTCATCCTAGAGCTGCAGATATATTGTGGTCCTGTCAGGTTCAGCCAGCAAAGTCAGTGGTCAAAAAATTAGGAACTGTAATTGGAACAACACAGTTCAATGCTACTGATCTAGTCCAATACTATTAATTTTGATAGGCACCTCCTTGTGACAACTCAGGATTCAGTTTTGGGTCTTGATCATTTAAGGAATGTGTTTTGGGCAGTTCAAGACAAGATAACTAGTAATAGGATAGTGGGAAGGCACTGAAGAGAAAAGGAAGAAACTGGCCTGTTTAAGTTAATAGTTTAGCCGTTCTGTTGTCATAATTTTAATAGTCCAGATGGATCTGGAAATTCTGAGATTTGTAGCTGCAGTCCATCTGAAAGACTTAGGGCGGGAAAAATGAAATTGATGACTCTCATTTTATAACTATATTATGTAAGGGCACAGCTGTATTTTTTTTTAGTACTGTAAGAACAAAACCAGATAGTTTCAGACTCATCCACGCATTCCTCTTTTGTTCAGTCATGATTCATCAAACAGCTTTTAATTTATAATTACCATTTTAATTCTATCATGTATCTTTCATATATGTTATATATTTATCTTAGAGTTTATGTGGGGTTTTTTTTAGTAATAAGTGGTTTTTTTTTTGAGAAATAGTAATTTCTTAGTGAAAAGGATCTGGGAGAAAAGAACTTGCTTGTATTGGTACTTTAACTTCAGATGAAAGAAAAAAAGCAATGTTTTCAAAACACATTAACAAAATATGATCTTTTTTGATTTAGAATGTCATATGGCTCCGTTCGCCGTGCTTGCAAAGGACAGTTCACTTATTAACTTATGTGAATCTACTGGCACGTGGAAAGGAATTGGGAACTCACCTGTCTACGTGAAGTTTGACTTGCATGCCTGTTCCCAGTTCCACAATTGATGTACATAAGGAGAAGTCTTCACAAAGCTGGGTTCACATCTATTGCAAAGCCATAATTCAGTTTGCTTAACTTAATGGGTAAACCGAGGTTATGATTTGTAAATGATACCTTAACATATGCTGATAAAGTTAGTTGTGGCTTATATCATGGTTAAACCAATAATAGTTGACTTCATATTATGCTAGACTAATGCTTCAGTCCTACTAGACAAGATCTATTTTCAATTTGTAACGCAGGTTTGTAAGTGTCAGGTAGATTGCTACTATCACATGGAAGTATTCTTGAGGGAAGATCATAGTTGTGCAGATTGATTGTGTAGTGCTAGTGATCATATTTGGCTTGTCCTTAATTCTTTTTTCTAGCATTCCCTGATGCCAAGCTGAGAGTTGTACCAAACAAAGATGCATTGCAACAGCAGTGTGTAGTACAAGGAACAGTTGTGAGTATTCTTTACAGTTATTGCCTTTATAAACTGAACGAGCTGAATAAAACATTGCCTTTTCTCTTGGGACAAAGTTAGAACTAAAAAAAAGGCCACATATGTATGTCTGTCTGTCTGTCTGTCTGTCTGTCTGTCTGTCTGTCTGTCTGTCTGTCTGTCTGTCTGTCTTTGATAATTTTGAATATTGGAATCCCAGGTATGGACATTTAAAGTCAATCAGATAAAAATAAAGCACTCTGGGATGTAAGGTAAAAGGCTTTTTTTTATTATGTGCACATGCCTCACTAAAACCGTTATAGAACTGTTATGTAAATTTATGCGCTTACTCCCCCCCCTTCTCATTTAGCCCTTTGCTCTGATGATGTTAACAGGTTGTTAACGAAAGCTCAGCAATTAATAAAAAAAAGCCTTTTACCTTACATCCCAGAGTGCTTTATTTTTATCTGATTGACTTTAAATATATATATATATATATTCCCATTCTTTCTTGGCAGGATACATAGGCCCCCTATGTATTTCCATGTCCCCCAATGTATTTGTATTCAACCTACACTTATAAGAGGTTTATATTGGGACATGATAACGTTACATGGATTTTGCAGTGATGTGGCGTCGACACAGTTGTGCTCATCCAATGGGGTCTCCCCTGTACTGTTTAGCCAATCCACTTTGGACTCAGCTGCAGTGCAGCTCACATTGAAAACGTCCGTGAAGTGTGGGTATTCTTGCTCTTATTCAGTGTCCTGCTTTCTGTAGTAGATTTCACAGGCACTCCTTTTAGAAAAAACTGATCTTAATCCATCAAGTCAATTTCACATGCCAACTAAAAATCAAAGCAGAACTAAGAAGCTTGATCTTCTCTGTTTGCATAAACAGCCTGTAGCTTACTGTACTTTTGTCTCATTTCACTGACCAACCTCGAGGGGTGGGGGTTAAGTGAGCCATTATTTCCCCCTTCCACAGACAGGCTCACACAGGACCTACCCTGCATCCTGCAATCATGGGTTGAGCACCTGTTCACAAAATTGTGGTGACATGCCATCATTACAGCTTTTATTGGAAATTTGTACACAGCCAGATTCAAGTCTTGACAGCCTGGGCAGCTTTCCTTCAATTCCAACTGTTCAGATTTATTTTTAAAAATAGCCTGATAAAAGCACATGGCATATCCAGAAAATGGGTTATGGTCTATTTTTTACCTTTTCTGTAAAGAGTGGAACAAGGAGATTTGTATTACTCCTGAAGGTGCTGTAGCTTAAGAAGTTGGACTAGTGGTTTTTATATTTCTGCTAGTCGGCTGTAAGGAGCACTGATTGTCTTCTCAAGTCAACAAGAGTAAAAACAATCACACAGCTGATTTCAAGATTTTTTGGAGAGATTGGATGAGTGGAAACAATGCCATTTGCAAATGCTGTTAAGCAAAATGTTTTGAGAAATAGATTACGTTCTGTTTTCTATTTAATGGGCTTATCAGTGGATAGCTGGGTGCAGATAAGCTGACAAAGATAACTTTTTATTTATAAAAATATTCATTAGCTGTTTTCTGGCTCTAAATTAACAATACAATAATCTCCAATATAATGAGCAGTATGAAAAGAAAAAAGACAAAACATTAAAGTAGCTAGGAGAAGCAAGCCAAAAGCTTGTTGAAGTAAGAAAAAACATTCTGAAAAGCATGTCTAACGTTTAGAGATATAATCTGTTAAATGTTCCTAGGAAGGAATTTCTAAAATTGAGTTTCAACAAAACAGACAGCTTGCTGTTGAATCTTGCATTCTGTTATCTTTATTTGTCCTGAATGGTGTTGAAGGGTCGTGCACAATTGAAAAGTTTCTTAGGCAGCAGCGCACTAAACTAGAAAAAGTGCAGTTTGAACAAACTGGAATAATGAGATCAACATGGCCTATATTTTGCACCGCCTCTGGGTTGTTGTTTTTTTTTACTCTTTTCAAAAGCAGTGTCCAGTATTACAGTACTCAGATATGAGTATGTGTATTAGTGGCTGGATCTGTTTTATCCAAGGAAAGTACAGGTGCAACAACTGAATGGAAAGAAAACCTTCTGGTGGATTTATTTATGTTTTAGAGATTCTGTTGCCTTTCATACATATATCAGAGTAAAAGCATTAAGAACCCTCTCCCAAGATACAGTACATAGGTTGGCAGCCCAGTGGAAAGAAGAGGAATAAGGTTATTTTTATTCATTAGGCCAGGGGTGTCAGATTCAATTTCACTGAGGGCCGCATCAGCATTGCGGTTGCCCTGGGGGCATGGGGGGGCATGGCCAGAGTGGGTGCAGCCTACTGGGTGGGCGTGGATGGAGTGGGTGTAGCCTACTGGGTGGGTGTGGCCAGTTCTACATCATTCGCGTCAAGGGTGCCTATGGGGGCCTGGGCAGGAGTGGGAACAGATCTGAGGGTCTCTGGGACCGGGGCAAGTGCCAAGGCATGGTCCCCCGGGGCAAGTGCCAAGATGGCCACCACAAAATTGGTCCCCCGGGGCAAGGGCCAAGGCAGCGGGGGCTGTTCCCTCACTGTTTCCAGGATGGCTTCACGGGCCACATGAAACCACTTCGCGGGCCGCATCTGGCCCCCGGGCCTTGTGTTTGACATGTCTGCATTAAGCAGAAGAATGTCAGACTCGAAACGTACTGTCATATCAAAAGAATAAAACACATTCAATTACTTTGCATATCAAAATATATTTTAAAAGGGTCCTCACCTCTGCAGGCAACCCAAATTGGTCTAAAATATTATTTCTCATTTGAGCAGCCTTAATAATAAATTTGGGAGTGCTGCTAACTACATTTACCCTTGAATGAAGCAAGACAATCTAATGTTAGGATCCCAGTGAACCGTTTTAAATTGTAATGGATATAGATGCCAGGCTGTTGCTGAGACATACAAATATATGTATGTAATCTCTTTTATAGTTGGTGCATCACTGCACACTTCCTTTCCCAACATGGTATTTGCTAGAATTCCCTGTATTTTACCATGGAATCCAGCAGTTTGAATCGTGTCCTGGAAAAGACTATTCTTGTCCCTGTGTCAGGATAATAATCAAGTATTTTTCTGCTTTGAATGCCCTTTTTGTTCTTGGCCAACCATTTTAGAGATTTAGCGCTTATAAACAACTCTTTTGAGCATTGACATCCAGATTCGCTTGACTTGTCCAACGGAAAATATGTAAGAATGTGATAGACCATGAAGCACCATAGTTTAAAAAAAAAAACTCATTTACTCAAGTGGAAGCCAGAAACACGACTAACAGAGTTGGAGTAACTTACAAGGATCCATTTGTAGGGTCTTCCACCAATAATTAAAGGCTTTGAATTCATTTCTGATCACAGAGGCTGAAGTGTCATGGCAGTTCCCAAGACAGGTCTTAAAAAATAGCTCTGACAATGTACAGGTAGTCCTTGACTTACAACCACAATTGAGCCCAAAATCTCCATTGCTAAGCAACACAGTTGTTATGTGAGTTTTGCCTCATTTTATGACCATTTTCACCACAGGTGTTAAGTGAATCACTGCAGTTCTTAAGTTAGTAACATGGTTGTTAAGTGAATCTGGCTTCTTTGCTGATTTTGCTTGTCAGAAGGCTGCAAAGGGTCATCACATGATCACCTTGATCAACATGCATTTATGATACTGCAACTGTCATAAATAAATGCCTAGGTTCCTAATTTTGAACAGGTGACCATGGGGATGCTGCAAAGTTGTAAGTATGAAAAACAGTCATAAGTCAACGTTTGCAGTGCCACTGTACCTTCACTGAATGGTTATAAGTCAAGGACACTCTTTATGAGTAGGAAGGGTTTTAGTAGGCCCAACAATTCTGCCCCATAGTTTAGTATAGGTTGTTTTTGGTCTTACATACCTTTAGCACAGTAGTCAGAATGCCAGGGTGTTTATAACTGAGCATTTTTAATAGCATATTAGGGCTTACTTTAGCCCTGGCTGCATATTGTTTGAAGCGATCTATTCACGATACTGTGTTGGTAAAGATCACACCTTGAAATGAAAAGGCTTTAACTTGTTCTATATATTCAGGTCCAAATGCTAATGGCCAAATGCTACCACTTTGGCCTAATTAATTTTCAACATATTGAAAACAATAGGTCAGGGGTAGGCAACCTTGGCTCTTTTATGATTTGTGGACTTCAACTCCCAGAATTCCTGAGCCAGCATGGCTAGCTCAGGAATTCTGGGAGTTGAAGTCCACGAGTCATAAAAGGTTGTCTACCCCTGTAATAGGTAGATAGTTTTCAGAGAATACTTCTCAGGCCAATTTGAGAATATATCATGAAAACAATGTCATCAGACTATGAAAAACAGTAGGTTTATGAGAAATGTTGGTCATGTATACTTAAGGGAAAAAAGAAGTCTTGGCATGTCATTGGCATAGAAATTGAAGAGCATTGGTGCCAAGATATAGTCTTGTCTTATGGTTTGGTAGGTGGGGATGTTCTGTGTTAGGGCACCTTTAGTTCCTGTACAGACTTTTAGGTAGGTGTTTGTATAAAAGGCCTTAATCAGATATAGCTGTCTAGACCAGTGGTTCTCAACCTTTTTAATGCCGCGACCCCAACCGGTCGTAAGTCGAGGACTAAACCGGTCGTAAGTCGAGGACTAAACCGGTCGTAAGTCGAGGACTACCCAACCGGTCGTAAGTCGAGGACTTTCCCTGCCCGGGAGCGCCACGCTTGCGTGGTTCCGCCCCCTGCGCCGCCCGAGGCGTAGCTGGCAAGTGGCAGAGACGGAGCAGGCCGACCACCAGCTGGCCCAGCTCAAGGGAGGTAAGGCACCTGCCGGAAAAGGGGAAAAAAATGGCGGACAGCCTTGCTTGGCGACCCCCGTGAAATGGTCAATCGACCCCAAATGGGGTCGCGACCCATAGATTGAGAACCGCTGGTCTAGACTTTATGTTTAACCTAGCCAGTGTCTTTCAAAGAATCATCTATTGAATCAAATGCTACACGGAAATCAATGAAGG